CTACTTTTGGATAAATACAAGAGAAAAAGAAACATTGAACATCGAATACGGGTAGAAGTCCCGACCGCAACATGCTTTAATTTTGGTTTGCCTTAAATGAAGTTAGCAATCCCATGTAATCACTCTCAAAGATATAGACTTTTGATGGACATACAGTAGTTCAACAATCTCATTTCTACTCAATGGTTTTAGATACCTAGGATGATTCCTCCTAGAACGCTCAAGACACTTAATTTTCCAACCTTACACTATACTTTGTTAAAACAACAGCACGACATCTATACCATATTGACATATATTTGTTGTATTCTTCTTAGTAAATGGATCCTTATGGCATTTGTCATCGTGATTTTTGCTCAACTTTTTAGCTAATGACATTGCATTTCATGAAATTCTATCATTGTCGATAAACTTAACTACAATATCAGATATAGTTCAAGCTTGAAAAGCGTGGACATTTCTACTAATGGACACCATAGAGTTACCATATATAAGAGGACCATTGTACACTTAAAAATGAAGATGTCGAGCCCATAGAGGTCGTTAATACAAGCGGAAGATCAAATGATACTGATTTCAAGAATCCTTGCGCTCGCGAACCACACTCAAACTTTTTTGGTCAATAACTTGTGCAAGATCAAAGAAAATGTTGGTCATGGGATTTTGAAAATCCCGAGCATGTGTAACTATGTCCTCAATCATGGGTGTTGGGATTTCTTCAAAAGTTTTACGATAAAGCTGGATGTAGATTTAATATTGGATTTAGCCTTTTCCATTTTAAATGGAGAAAATTCAAACAAAAGTGATGGTTCACTGGTGATTTGTTATTTAAATTTTCGAACTTCCTTTATTTTTCCTTATTTAAATTTTCTTTTCTTATTATCGCATGAAGGGGAAGGTTGATTGCTCAAGGGCTATAAATTGGTATAATGTTGTAATTAATGTACTACATTCATTATGTCGAACAAAACTATATTCTTTCTCATGTTTCATTATTACATTTGTTTATTCAAAATTTTAAGATTTCTTATTATTATTTTTTGCTGGTAACGCATGGAACTCCACTAGAGAGGGGTAAACCCATACCCACTATAGTAGCTTGTAAACTATAGTGAAACCTAGGCAAATCTGGAGTGACATTTATTATCTCACAAAATATGATTTATATACGTGATATATATTAAAGTAATTTATTAAATATTCTAATTTATGGATATAACATCTAGCATAATTAATAGAAATTTGGGCTAGAGATTGATGTCTTGTCTCTATAGAGTAGATGCATGTCAGAGCCTGTGATGATAAATATTTCATAAATTTTTTCTTTTCCATACAACAAAATGTGTTCTACCATTTAAAGTGATTAATTTTGGGAAATTTCTCCTATGAATCCAGTTCCACATAAGACTCAATGGAACCCCTTCAATATTAAAGGTAGTGAATAAATATAACGATGAAAATAGAAAACTTTAATATATCCTCATTTTTCCATCTCCCCCGACTGCCATTCTTCAACTTCAACAAAGACGTGGGATTCCGAGCCCCAACAACGAAGACGTCCAATTCCGCCCAATCCTGGCCGTCGTGGATCAGGCATCATCCAATCCAAAAAGTTTGTAATAATGGATATAAAACATGGTCTGAAAAGGCAAATTCCTTTCAAACACGTTATAAAAAGAGGAAATGTACGTACTTAAGCGTGAACATTGTAATAGAACATGATACAATGATTACCTTGTTGGATGATAAGATGATAAAACCTGTGGTATTTTTTGAAGTTCCAACAGTATATATAGTTTCAAAGTTCCCGGGGTATATTTTTTATGTACTTGACATATATTTTTGAAATTCTTAGGCTTAGTAATTGATGTTCTTGCAAAACTTTTTTGATGTTCATGTGGATTTTTTTAATTTCCAAGATTTAGTTTTGAAGATCATGTGGTTATATTTATAGATTCCAATATAGTTTCAAGGTTCGAATAGTTATTTTTTTGTAGTTACAACATACAACATCAATTATTGATACTCCTGTGGTCATATTTATATATTGCAGTATTTTTTCGATGTAGCTGATACTTTTGAAGTTATTGTGCTTAGTAATTGATGTTCCCGTGGTAATTTTGATGTTCCAGTAATATAGTTTCAAAGGTCTTGTTCTTTTTTTTTTTTTTTTATTTAAGTTCCAACAGTATAGTTCAAAGATGGACACATCAAAATTATATGATAGATCCATAAAAAAAAATCAAGATTATAAAATCATACTTATAAAATTTGGAAAAAAAGAAAAAAAAAGAATCTAATATAAAGCTCGTTAGATAGATCTCGTCGGTTACTACAAATTATATATTCTCTCTATTCCAAAATTATTGTCCAGTGTACATTTACATTTTTAATATAATTTGTACTATAAATGAAAATCAAATTCGACAATCATTTTGAGACAGAGAAAGTATATAATATGTTTTATTATTTTGACGGATCAAGTGATAAAAATCATAATTTTTGGATATTTACAACATTCTACTTTTTAAATTTGCAAAAAACCCCTTCTCAATTAACTGAAAACACAAAATAAATTAAAAAAATATATATGAGAGATCCGCCACAAAATTAGTGAATCTCCATTTGGATTCCTCAAAGTTGGACAATTATCAATTTCTAAGGAGGGATTTCACCATATTAGTGGTGGATACTGGTCCATGGAAGATAAACCTTAATTTTGTTCATTGAGTTGTAGTGGTTCCATTTTCAATAAATATTCCATAAATCCCTTTTATTATTATTTACCCTTTTAAAGCCACGTACAATCAGATGAGGTGGCACCTTCTGGTAAAAATTTTTCCCACCCAAACTAATAAGATTGCAGTTTGGACACGTGGCACATTATTTAACTATCAGATGAAAAAATAAAAAAAGAAGCCTACTTCTGGATGAAAAACTTCCACAAACACTTCCGAATCACATTAAATCCATACAAATTATTAAAATCCAAATTTAAAACTCTATCAAATTCAATTAGTATCATGTGGTTTATTTATTTATTTTTTTGGTTTTTTGATTGTCTGGTCATGTACTCGAGACAAACATCTAGTATTTGACGAAAGAACCACTCACCTTCACCAACATTGAAGAAAGGGCGAACTACATTTTACCCCCAGAGTTTTGCCTTGTTCAACGATAAACTCCATGAGTTTGAATGATACTACTATATCTCCCTGAGCAAGGGTTAAACAATGAAATAACAAAAATGACCCCGGTTTACATACACTTAATTTTCTTTTCTCCTTTTTGATTTGTTTTTCTTCAGTTTTTTATCATTAAAAATAAAACTTACTTAAGTTGTCATTTTCAGATTTAATAACAAGTTAATACAAGAAAGTTAATCCATAGTTAATAATATAAGCTTATTATGCTTCATAAAAAAAGAAGAAAATTTGTGAAATATTTTTTATTTCTAAAGACATGATATAGTTAATGACAAAATTTTATTATATAAATGTATTAATATAAAAGAATTAATATGTAATATTTTTTAATTTAACTTATGATATATATTTTTTAAAAAATAATTATACTGTATAATCTAAAAATATATATTAAAGGATATTTTTGATTATTTAAACAAAATTGATGATGTGTTTGTATGTTAAGGGGGTATTTTGTAGGTTAACTATGAGTCAAGGGGTATTTGATAGTATTACTAAAATTCGGAGGATTTATGGTAGATTCAGCCAAAACTCCTCAATGGGTAAAATGTAGTTCGACCTTAAGGAAACCACTTTCGGACTCCGTCACTAGGGAATTAAATTAACTCCTACCTAGTCGTGATTTGATTTAGACGTCGGAATCTTTACCAAAAATAATGCACCTTACACTAGACATATTCGGCTCATGAAATAGCTATTCGATCTTCGATTCCCCAAATTCGGCTGTATCTAAACAAGACAATTCTTGGGATACACGTAAAGAACCTTCCATTTATAATGTCAATTAACGTTTGAAATCGGCGAACCAATAATTCCTGTCAGATCGACAGCTCCCAAACCGCCGTTCAATATTTGATAAACAAAATTAGAAGAATATTCTAAAACTCCAAATAAGATTGAGCCTTCTGAGATAGCCAGATCCGAAATTTATATTTTTCCCAACATCATCAATCCACCTATATATGTAATTGGTTGCTGTTTTTCTTTTTCTTCTTTATTTCCCCTGTGAAGTCTTTTGTTATCAATCACTTTCTTTAGTTGTTACAATAACTCTGATGGATGCATAAATATTTCTAAACTTGAATTACAAATTGCGACAACGACGGGTTTTTTTTTTTACGAAGCTCCTTTTTCTTATATTTATGAAGTTTCCTGGTTAATTAAAAGGGAACGAAATAATATTTCCCTTAATACCAATGGTTTTATTAAGGAAATAAAAAGAAAGTAACATCAATACGGGAAATTTTCTCAATTATGTTCGTATTCACAATGTGGCTTTCATGTAAATACGTACTTACACCTCACTGGTCTTTTGTTTCTTGATTTCATTTCCTCTTTTGCGAATTTTTTTTTTTTTTTGGTTATTTATAGTGCTGACTCAAGTCCAAATATCCACCTCTCAAATTCCTTCTTCACAATTTTTCTTTATAAGTTTCGCTTCTTCCTTCTCTGTACTTCAATACACCATTTATGACCCTTTGGGAAAAGGTGAAATCTATCTATAAAGAAAAAAAGAAGTGTTGAGTATTTCAACCCGAAAAACACACACAATCAGATAAAAGAGAACAGGAGGAAAAGAGAGATTATTGCAGTACATTTTGAAGGGTGAAACTCTGCTAAGATTTGTCTGTGTGGAATATTTCAACTGGCCTTTTAGTCAAAGATCTGCTGGACGCCACCACTTAGATTTTTCAGTTTTGTTGTAGAAAGATCGAGTTTTGAGAGGTCAATTTTTTGGATATTTAAAGGGTTTAGAGCAGAGAAGTTGAAGGAAAACAAAGGTTAAAAAGAAATATGCCAAAGCCACAGAGGGAGTTGACCATGAACAAAGATTACGTGAAGAAAAAGCCGAAAACGATTGAGAAAGTAGCCAGACGCATGAGAAAGATTGTGATTTCGTGCGAAGACAAAGACGCTACTGATTCATCATCAGATGAGAAGGAGATGAACCCGAAGAAGCCCAAGCGGTTTGTCAGAGCGGTTTTCATACCCATTTTGGATGTCAAAGTAAAATCTTCATCCCAAGAGAGCAATGGAAAGGAGAAAACCCCCCCAAGTCCCATCTCTAAGGTGAAGAAGGAGAAGAAGAGTTTAACTGAACCTCTGATTGAGATTCCGGCAAAATACCGGGGTGTCCGGCGGAGGCAATGGGGAAAATGGGCTGCTGAAATTCGTGATCCATTCCAGAAGAGGAGGATTTGGTTGGGCACTTTCGATTCTGCCGAGGAAGCGTCCCAAGCTTATGAGGATATGCGGAGAAAATTTGAGGCTATGGGTTATCTATATCCACTTGAGAAGTGTTCCAATGTGGTTGTTGGTGAGAACATTTCGAGCTCATTGACGGTTTCGCAGCCTCCTCAAAATCAGAATGAAACCTCTGAAAGCTTGGTTTCACATACATCTCCTTCATCAGTGGATATCAGTGATGACGGTGATGATAAGGCGAACGATGATGTTGGTTTGGGAAGCATTTTTGGGGATGAGAAGGTGCCTGATTTGTTGTTAATGTTGGATGAGAACAACGACTTGTCACTGGATGAAATTGCTCAAGGTCTAGAACTTGATTTCGGGTTGAACTCGTTTCTAGCGGGAGACTATGAGTATGGAGAGGCTCTGGAGGATTTTATGTTTCACGATGATGCTTTTGATGACATAGACACCTATGGCTTTGAAGATGATGCGGAATGTGTTCCTCCTCTTCCAGACTATGATTTCGGCTCCGATTTCGGGGTTTTTGATGAGGAAGGCTTATGTTGGATGAATGAGGTACCAGTGCATCACCTCTGCACAATCAACACAGTATGGCCATTTTAAAGTTTTGCAGTATCGGGAAAGAATCTAGTAGAAATTTATGCGTTAGGTTATTATATTACGTTCTAAATTTCATTTAGGTTAAGAGGAAGAGTCGCATTCTCAAAGAATTTCCACTAAATTAGCTTCAATTTGTTTGCGAAAATGGTTTTGTATTGTTGTGTTAAATTTAGAACTACAGATTTTTGAGAGTGTCATCCAATATGGATTGTTTTGGGTTGGAAAGAAAATAAAGGGTGTGTTACGAAATGTTGGTCCTTTTTTTTTTCTTTTGTTTTTATTTTCAAGTTGTGTTTGTGTGTTTTATATACTATCTTAATTCGTGCTTAGTTTATAACAATATTGAAGATTTTTTTTTTTAATGAAGGAGGCTAATATCTAAAATACTATAGCAATAAACAATTATTTTTCTAGAACTATCAATAGAAAAAGTGAAACTCGCTACCAAAATCAAGTAATAATTGGATTATAGTTGTCTCATTCTCACCCCATTGCTACATAAATCCCTCCATAAACTTTATTAATATGTTCATATGTCCGCGAAACCTTATTAATATGTTCATTATACATATCTTCTATTTAAGGTCTACATTTAACTTCATTTTTTGGACTTCTGTATCGACGCTGATTTGTGGGGAGGGAGGAATTTTTTGCATGGCAATTTCACATAAATGGCTAGAAACATTGTACTTATATACAAAGGGCTAATGGAGATGCTTATTTTCTCTCGTTGAGACCATAACATGCTCATTCCCTTAAAATGTACTCCTACTTGATTAGTCTGCTTTGTCGAACAGAAAAAAAAAAAAAAAAGCTACTATACAAAATGCCTTATTAAAGTAGGACGAATGGAGTTCAACAATTAACTAATTTAGAGGTTGAGATGGATCACGAGGAGTACTATAAAGAACAACTTGCTTCTGTACGTGAAATTTTCTATATTTAAAAAAAAATCTAGCAATTAATTATCAGTAACAACCAATCACCTAGATAACTTGAACAAAACCCGGGCAAGCAATTAACCACGCCTACAACGGAAAACTAGATCAACGTTATTTACACCAGTGGGAAATTGGAGAACAAAAACGAATTAAGTACTTGTAATTAGGGCAACGTAGGAAAACCAGATTTGTAGTTCCCAATGTTCTGTGGGTTTGTCATTAGCTTTTTTGTTTATAATTCTTTTATAAGTCCTCTCACTTAAAAAAAAAATCACTAAATACTATTTTCTTTGGTCTAGAAAAAAGTGCCTATTTTATTAACTAAAAAAGGTGCTCCTTTAACAAAGTGAAAGTTTTCGTCGACAAAACGAGTACTAATTGCAGTTACGGAAAAATTCAATATTCATAAAAATATTGAGCTTTTTCGCCGACTGGGTTTTGCAAAATTTAATTTATATTATAGATCACAATGTATTTGGGAAAACTTCAATTAATCGGAAAATGAAAATAATTTCCCAATCACTTTGATTGTGGAAAAAGAATCTTCATTTTCTTTTACCATGAATAGTGCCCCTATCACATATGTTGTAATGGTAAGCAATTAAACTTTAGTAATATATGCATCCTACTCTGCTACTCATAAAAAGGCAGGGATCCATCCAATTTGTACGGTTGCCCATAAAAGAAAAAAACTATTACTCTCACTTTCTGATCCATTTTAGGGTTTATATTTTCTTTTTCCGCCCTTATTATCATATTTCGTTGAAAAAAGTTGTTTGTTCTTCATCATGGGGGCAATTGCGCACAAAAAAGAGCCCGATCAGATGAAGGGCTCATGGATCCCTGAAGAGGATGAACTGTTACGGAGCCTCGTTGAGAAACACGGCCCGAGGAACTGGACCTTGATCAGCGAATCCATTCCGGGGAGATCCGGCAAATCATGCCGGCTCCGGTGGTGCAATCAGCTGTCGCCGGAGGTGGAGCATCATCCCTTTACGCCGGAGGAGGACAAGACGATTGTTCGGGCCCAAGAAAAGCTCGGGAACAAGTGGGCTGACATAGCCCGTTTGCTCCCCGGTCGGACGGATAACGCTGTAAAGAACCACTGGAACTCCAATCTTAAACGGCGGCGCTCGGCCGGTTTCAATTCGGAAACACGTCTGCCGCCCCGTAAAAGATCAGCTAGCGTTGCCCCGGCGAAAAGTGGATCCGACTTGAATGACTCGGGCCTATCAAGTTGTTTCAGATCAAGCGTACCCTTTGCACGGGTCGCTGGGATATCCGCTCCTATTCAACAAATCGAAACGCCGGCGTCAAATCTAACTTCAATGCATCCAATGGATCCACTCACATCTTTAACCCTTTCCCTACCCGGATCAAGCTCCGGACCTAGCCCGACCCGGAACCACATTTCTACAGAAACCCGTGCCTCTGTATTTGGTTCGGGGCAAGGCAAAAATGGTTTATCGGTTCTGGCAGGAGAAAGACAGTTGTTAAGTCCAGAGTTGACGGAGGTTTTGCGGGAAATGATAAGGAAGGAGGTGAGGAGTTACATGTCCGAGGCAATGGTGAATCTCTCAAGTAAAACACTAAAATCGAACCTATCTGAGTAATGCGATGGCTGAATTGGCTAGCTTTTTTCCTTTGGGGGGATTGAATTTTGGATTGGATGTGGGGTAAAGGAGCAATGAAGAGAAGGATATATAGATGGTTTAAGAACTTCTTATTGTACAGTTTTACATCAGTAAGGTGGGAGGGACAAAGGAAGACTTAGGGGAAGGTTTAGGTTTTTATTTTTTCAGTTTTGTAGAAAAAATTTATTTGATATACCTACCATTCGTGATATATTTTTGTATTGTCGATACATTTTTTTTTAAAGCATTTCTCACATAAAATAATAGTACACTGAAACTCGTTCTAAACATAATAAACAAACAGTTAATCCTACCAGAGTATCCAACATCGCAACTAATTGAAATTTTGTCAGAGTATGTTTAGTCATCCAGTCAAAGTAATTTGTAAATTTTTACTGTGATTCCTATATATATATATATATAATATAATAAGCTAATATAATTTTTACTGTGATTCCTATATATATATATATATATATATATATATATATATATATATATATATATATCTACTATATTAAACAAAACATCCCTTTCAAACACTTCATATGATTGCGTGGCGCGTATAGAAATCTTAAATTGCCTTTTGTCTAACCATAACAAAATTACTAAATCTCCCTTTGCACTTTATGTGACATGTTTTTTTTTTTTTCTTTATGTTTCATTCAACTAGAGTGGTTTTTTAAATTGAATTGATCAATTAGGTTTTTTGTTACAAAGTGTCAATTTTGTTTTAAGCGTATACCTTTCGGATGAAGCTTATTACAAAGCTATTAAAAATTTCCAAAACTAAGTATTGATTTGGCACGACCAATGGAGAACATCAATAAATCATCTTACTAATATTTAAATTTATTAGGATGCTTTTATATTTTATCTAACATTTACTTCAACACATATATTCGATTAAGGCTCTTTATATTTAATAAGTAACACTTATAAAACATTTCTAAAACATACATGGCGAAATACAATTTATTTTTTTTTTTGCGAAATACAAATATTTCTATGATCACACTTATAAACATTTCTAAATCCTTCAAATATTTTTAAAATATATCGCTCCAAATATAAAATTTTATTTTTTTTCAAATATAAACATTTCTAAGATCTACAGATAGACTAGGCCAGGGTCGCGCATTGCGCGACCAGACATCACTAGTAATATAATAAGCTAATATAAAAGTCACGTTTGACCAATTAGTTTCTTATAATCTATTAGTCGGGCGGTCATCACGTGACATCAGCCTTGTGTCACGTTTACACCATCCTTTTTTAATCGAGGGTGAAATTGTCATTCACTAAATAGATATTCAACTAAAAATAAATTTGCTGCCCAAACCCCCCTGTATGTATATATATTTTTAAATAAAATAATACTTTCATTCATTAACTGAAAATTGTCCAGCTGCGATTGATTGATATAAAAAAACAGTCAAACACAACTTATAATGTATCACTTTATTGTGTTTACCGTGGATAAGCCTATACAGATCTACCTATATAATTGACAGACATCAGGGGCGGAGACATATACATGATTAGTGGGGCAATTGCCCCAGCTGAATTTTTTTTATAGCTATTACCCCTTAAAATTTGAGGTATTTTCTTAAGAAAATTAGGTTTTACCCCACCAAAATTAATAATATTAGGGGGCAAATATATTAAATTAATAGTATTAAAAATTTTGCCCCATCACTTCTTCGGGGCCTAGCTCCGCCCCTGACGGACATATCACGTACCAGAGTATGAATCTGATCTCAAACCACATATCTAAATATTAGATCTGCGTTGTCTAATTCTTTGTGTGGCATATGTGTCGTTGCGAACATGTTCAACGCCGCTATGAACACTGCAAAACATATCTACCTCTCAGTAGAATAATCTACTGAAGAAACACTGCGAACAAGAAAATCCTACCCTCTCAAAAGATTATCTAAATAATCAATTGAAAAGAACTAATTTGTGAGAATAAATCACTTATTAAACGATAAAGAACAAAACAAAAAAATGATTAAACAAGTTCAATTCCCCATCCTCCCATGATGAGGATGAGAAGATAGGGGAAGAAATTATATTTTTGGAGTTGGGGTTTGAGAGAGAGAGGAGAGGGGCGGCTGCTGATGATCAAGCAGTGCTCATTTGACACATGCCCAAACCCCCCTATATTGTCATTCACAACTACTTAGTGTATCCTTGACAATTAGGAACATTACACACGGGTATATTGTCATTCACGATATATACTATGCTTCAAGTATATTGTCATTCACGATTTTCTTCCCTATATTATCAAGTATATCCTTTTTCTGTATATTGTCAGTCACTCCAATTATTTGGTGTACTTAGTTTATTATCGGTTACACACGGGTTTTATTCATCATTATTTTGAAAAAATTAGTTGATGATTATACAGAAAATAAAAAATAATAATCAATGTATGCAATATTAGATCGAAAAAGAAACTATAGGAGCAAATGTGAAATGTGGACATGTATCTTAAGCGGTGGTGAAGTCGAACATTTCATGGTAGACATCGTTTCGAGTTTTTATATCTTCGACCGGTTATATAATGTCTGAAGTATAAGTAGGATTTTGAGCGATTTGGACGTCTTTACTCATGATAGTGCCACATACTGTAGTCCGTGCGAGAGTATTGACTCTCGCAAGTTCAGGCTAACATATTACAGTGTCTGTCCCAGTGATTTATTAATGGTCATTGCGAAAAAAGAATTTTATTTAAAATTGTATCCTTTTGATTGATATCCTTTGAGTTCCAGATCTTACTATCGTTTTTGAGTGCTAGTCGAAAGCGATCTCGACCTTGGTCGCGAGCCTGTCCAGTTCTTTACATATCAACCTTATTCCATTAGAGAGTCCTCTAGTCGGGTTTAGATTTCACAGGATCATCAACGGGACAATCCGGTTCAAGTATTAATTCATGCGGCAGGAGGCCTTTTGTGTTCAGTATAATTATGAAATCCTCGTAATCGGTTTGGAACTTCTCGTCAATTGTATTCCGTTTATATAAAAAATCATTAATAAATTGATCATTCTCATCCTATTGGAACTAGCTTAAATTGATGGAGTTTTGGTTCTAGTTACTAAATAGAACTATAAAAAATTCTTATGTTTTCTTACATTTACTAGGAGTAGACACAAGAAAGCACTTATTTATTGGGTTTCGTTGATAATTCTGGCTTTAGCTGATAGTTCTAGTGCTCATACTATGATACTTTTGATAGATATACAACACCTTTATGGTTTAGAAGTTAAAATGTGATATTGATAATTCAAATTTCCGGAATTATAATTGTACATAATACACTTCTTTGTTTCTGATCTTCAACAAATCATGATGAGAAATAAATTCATGAAAGAAGATGAAATCATAAATTGTATTGTGTGCAACATTACATTACATTGCCTTTATTTATAGGCATACAACAACATTAGTTAAGATCTAGATAATATAAAATTTAAAATAATCTACAAAAATAGAATCTAAATAATCCTAACTAATAAAATCTTGGACTAATTTTATCAGCCCACCGCAAGTTCATGGGCGGAATAACAATGAGCTTGTCCCGAAGTTAAAGAAAAGTCTTCGTAGGCAGAGCTTTGGTCATAATATCAGCAATTTGGGCAACGGACGGAACATGCTGAATAGTAAGAGCTTTTTGACGAACCAAATCACGAACAAAGTGAATGTCAATCTCAATATGTTTGGTGCGTGCATGAGATAATGGATCAGCAGCAAGGTAAATAACTCCTAAATTATCACACCAAAGAGTAGGAAAGAGTAGGAGGTGATGAAGACAAACGAAGCTCACGGAGGAGAGAAGAAAGACAACATATTTCAGCTGCAGCAAGAGCAAGACTGCCATACTCAGCTTCGATACTTGAATGAGCAACAGACGGTTGTTTCTTAGCACTCCAAGAGATGAGATTAGAACCCAAAAAAATGCCATAGCCGGAATTGGAGCGGCGTTCATCAGGGCAACCAGCCCAATCAGCATCAGCGAAAGCAGTAATTGAAAGAGGGGAACTCTTTGTAAGATGTAGGCGATGGGTAGGGGTAGAATGTAGGTACTGAAGTATATGCTTAACAGCAGACCAATGAATATCAGTGGGACAATGGAGGAATTGAGACACTTTATTAACAGCAAATTGGGTATCAGGACGAGTGACACAAAGATATTGAAGAGTACCAACATTATGCCGATACTCTATAGGGTCAGATAAAGGTACCCCATGCTTTTTAGAGAGAGGTAAGGTGGGAGTTCTGGGGGTAGAGATGGGTTTGGATGTGTCGAAGTGAGTACGAGTGAGGAAATCTTAAATATACTTAGATTGAGAAAGAAGAAGGCCAGTGGATGTAGATTGAGCTTCAATACCCAGAAAATAATGAAGAGAACAAAGATCTTTGATGGTGAAGGTAGAATGAAGCTCATCAATGAGAGATTGAATGAAGGAAGAAGAGGAAATAAAATCAGGAGTATGGAGTTTCTGACTAAGATGGTGAAAACAGGCTCTAAGAGCTTGTTTACGACCATATAAAGCTTTGTGAAGATGACAAACATGATATGGATATTTTGGATCAACAAAGTCTGAGGGTTGACTCATATATACGTCCTCATGAAGATTACCGTGGAGAAAGGCATTGTTCACATCAAGTTGACAGATTGGCCAATTTCGATTAAGAGCAATAGTGATGATGACAATACGAATGGTAGTGGGTTTGATTACCGGGCTGAAAGTATCTGTGTAATCTATGCGAGGAGATTGATGGTAGCCTTTAGCTACTAAACGAGCTTTATAGCGCTGAAGAGTCCCATCGGATTTTCTTTTAGTTCGAAAAACCCACATACAACCCACAATATTAGCATTAGGAGGAGGAGAAACTAGAGTCCAGGTTTGAGTATGTTGAAGAGCATTAAACTCTTCAAGCATAGCTTGACGCCAGTGAGGAAATTTAT